TATATTATTGATATTCCAGATCCAGATAAATTTAATCAGATTGTGAATGATAAAGTTTATCTAGATCGTGATATGTATGAGACAATTGTTTTTAATCTTTGTAAGGAAAATTTTTTTAAAAGATTTGTAAAACTTTTACAATACCAAGATATTATTGATGCAATGTGTCTTTTTTTGAAGGTTCAAATGCATTAAAACACACTTGGAATGGATACATCCATGTTCGCCTATGTCTTGATTACAAAAATGAGCAAGAAATGATAGTTCTTGAAGTGTCAGATACAGGTTAGTCTTGCTAAAAAAAAAAAAAAAATTATTATACACTTATATTTGTAAATGTATATTCACATATATTACTGTATTATTTTAGGTGCTGGCATTCCAGAAGCAGAACTTCCAAATATATTCCAGCGTTTTTATCGTGTTGAATCTCAAAACTCCCGCAGTCACGAAGGTGCTGGAATTGGCCTCGCTCTTGTTAAAGAATTTATTACATGCCATGGAGGAGATATAACCGTAACATCAGCAGTTAATCAAGGAACAACAATCAAGTGTTGGTTTCCAACCGGATATAAACACCTACCAATGAATCAAATAAATCAAAATAATACGGAAAATGACCTAACGAGTAGTAATCAAAGATGTTCAAATCTACATCTTTATTTAGAAGAAAACTCTCAATGGATACAAAATTATTCATCTTCGATACAGGATAATATGATAAATAAGAAGTTAATAAATGATTGTAACAAGGACATTGATACAATATATGATGTTATATCCCCTTTCTCTATAGATAATTCTTCAACTAATATCGATAAAAATTATCAAATTTTGGTCGTCGACGATAATGCCGATATGCGGTAATAACATTTTTTTTATTTAATTAGTAATTTTTTAAGAATTTTATAAGCTTATTTTGTTTTGACCATATTATTTGAATAGAAATTATCTATCAGATTTATTAAGAGAATTCAACGTACTTTGTGCTTGTACCGGCCAGAATGCAATTCAAATTTTAAACGAGCTTGACAAACCTCCAGATCTAATTCTTAGTGGTAAATTAATAAATAATCACATCATTTTTATTATATTTTATTTAACATGTTATACATAAATCATTATTTTACGCCAATTAATTTATTAAATTTAACAGATGTTATGATGCCAATTATGGATGGATATGAGTTATTGGATAAGATAAGGTCAAATATAAAAACTCAATTAATTCCTGTAATCTTATTAACAGCAAAAGTCAGTGAAGATTCTAGTATCAAAGGTAATACATTTCGTTTACGTGGTTATTAAATTTATTTTTTTAAAATACATAATAATAATAATAATTTATTTATTTATTTATTAGGACTTGATAAAGGAGCAAATGATTATTTAAAAAAACCATTTTCTGCTCGAGAATTAATATCACGTATTCGTGATAATATTGAGCTCTCAAATCTTCGTCGTAAAATATTATTCCAACAACAGAGGCAAGAAATGATAAATCAATTTCTACTTTTAATCTCAGAAACGATTCATTCTAGTCTTTGTCTGAAAGAAGCGCTTTCAAAAGTTATAAAAGCAATTCATAGTGAATTACCATGTGATAGAATATTTATTATTTCATATGAACAAACTACTTCAAATCGTACTTTGGTTGCTTCATATGAAAATTCAGAAAGCACAACACCGGTACAATCATTCCAAGAAGATGAAGCAATTACAAATTTGCATTCACAAATGGTTTTAAATAATAATCTTGGAGTAGATATTTCACTTAATGTTTATTGTACTGATACTTACAAAAATGTATCTATGTTGTCCGCTGAAATAAGAATGAATGATGATTGTTGGGGATGGATTAAGCTACATCGACCTCCAAATTCTAATTGGTTTAATTCAGAAATTGATTTATTACAACGAATAGCAAATCGAATAAGTTTGGCTATTACTTATAATATAATAACGGAAGAAAATTTAAAGAAAGAGATTGAAATTAAAGTTCAAACTATTGCGAATGAAACTAAAAATATAATATTAGCAAATACTTCTCATGGTATAGTATAAAATTTAAAATATTATTACCTTTGCATTTTTGTATGATGTTTTTTTTTTTTAATTATTACAATCTCATATTTCTTAAAGAATTACGAACTCCGCTAGGAGCAATAATGGGCTTTCTTTCTTCCTTTGATAATGGAAATCTAAATGATGATCAAAGGGACATGATTGATGTAATGATACAAGCTTCCGACTCTGCATTATTAATGGTTAACAATATTCTTAATGCTGCAAAATTGAAAGCGCACAAGATTGATTTAATAAATTCAACATTTGATTTATTGGATTTATTTGAAAAAGTATTTGAGCAATTCGTAGAGAATGCAGAGAGTAAGAAAATTGAATTGGTTTTAAATTATGATGCTGAAAACTTACCAAGATATGTTAAGAGTGATCCCAATAGGTGATTTATCACTATACCTTTTTTTTTTTTTTTTTTTTTGTTTAAAAAAAAATAATAAAACTTTATTATTATTCTATTATGTAGACTGAAACAAGTCTTACTTCACTTATTGTCAAATTCGTAATTATATTATATGGTTTTATTGTCAATATTCATGTTTTATTCCAATATTCTATTCCAGTACATAACTTATTATTATTTATTCAGGATTAAATTTACCGAAGACGGTGAAATCGTAATGGATGTTTCAATAGAGTCACAAAAAGTCACTGACAAAGATATAGAGAATCGGACTCACAGTCAAAAAAAACATCTGCTAATTGAATTACGCGACACTGGTATTGGGTAAGCTTATTATAATTATTTAATTATTTTAAAACGCATTCAAATAATTTAACTATTACGTATTAGCATTGATCCAAGTTTTATGAAACATATTTGGGAATACTTTTCACGAGCGGACACATCATTTACCAGAAAACAAGATGGTATTGGACTTGGTCTTTCAATTTGTAAAAATTTAGTAGAAATTAATGGTGGAGAAATTAATATTGAAAGTCAATTAGGAGAAGGGTGTAAATTTTGGTTTACATGGAATATTGATCTATCATCACCAAATATGCCACTTAATAAGCAAATTAGTTATACACTACCATCTTGTATCTTATCAAAACGAATATTGGTGATTCATCCGGTAGAAAGTGCAAGGAATGTAATATTGAAATATCTTAAATTGGCTAAAACTGTTGATGCATTTGATACTTTCTCTAAAGGTATCCAAGAAGTAAAAAATTATCTAAAATTGCATAATCAATTTGCTTATGATATAGTATTTATTAGGCTTTATGAATCGAACAAAGAAGAAATCATGAACTTTTTATTAGAGTTAAGAGATATGGACATGTATGATAACAATCTATTAATAATCTTTATAGTATCTCCGGGTGATAAAGGAAAAGCTTTGGTTGATAATTTGATTTCGAAAATTGGAGGACGAACTGCTATTATTTACTCTCCAATTACTTGGCAAAAACTTACAAATCTGTTAACGAATATAAGAAATTATGATATTATTGAGAGTAAAGGTATTTGAAAAGAATAGTCGACTATAAGGTGGCGATACAAAATCGAGATTTATATGAGTGTTTTAGATCAAAGGAATTTAATACTAAATTAGTTATCCTTTTTGATCTTTTATAGCATAGGTGGGCAAATAAAATTATTATAAATTTATAATATATCTATTTTGAGTTAACTTAAACTCTCACTCTAATCCTAACTATTCATAAATTTGCTTAAATCTCTATTTTATTATAATAACAGGTTTTATTTAAGAATTAGTATAAAAATTTAATATTTTTAATTAAAATAATTGTCTAGATATGCTTACAGTACTGGGATTATTAAAAATATTAGGTAGCTGCGCGGCATAATCGCACGGAAACCAGGAACTAGATATGTATAAATACTATTGACTATAGCGTTTTATTATTAAACTTTTTTTTTTGTAAATTAGTTAAGAGTATTTTTTAATTGCAATTACTGTACAGCGCGGACCACGGTACCCCCATATATAGTACCCCCTATTGAAAATTTTTGCAGTAGAATATAAAATACCCGGGTACTTTACAGCGAATATTAGAATTTTTGGACTCGTGGTTTGTAAAATACCCCGGGTACAGACATATATATAATTTAATTTAATTTTACGTTTAAACTATATCTAACTTCTAAAACCTATCTTTAAGTTTTCGAAATTTAATTTAACGGCATAATTTTAAAGGTTTCAAATTTTAGCTTCGTCTTTAGGATTTTATAATCGATACTTTGTAAAATAATCTAACTATAGCATAATTTACACGAAACATACCCAATTTTTTTTCTTTAGTATTTAAAAATATACAATTTCAGAAATTTTTTAATAACCCGATGTTGCTAAATTTGGCTTATATGAAAAATACTTCTATTTTATTTATTTGAAATTATTACAAAATTAAAATGATTATTCTAAATCATCAGACTCATACAAATCATTAGGCTCACACAAATTATCAGACTCATATAAATCATCAGACCTATATAAATCATTAGACCCGCCTTTATCAGAGCTTTCGACTATGCTTTCCATATTTTCTTCAAAACGGTTTATATATTCTTCTTCAGGATATTCATCATCGTCTATTTCGATAGTTTCAGGTTCATCATATTGATCAGCTTTCGAGATTTCTTCTACCCCTTCATAGTCGAATAAGAGATCATCTTCTGAGCCATCAGTTTCAAGAGAAATACCACAACATTTAAACGATAGTTTAACTAGTTCAGGATCCACATCATCCCATGCTTTCTTGACCCATGTTGCAACCATTGTATAGGAAGGTCATTTAAACTTGCCAGTTTTAGTAAGTTCATGTACTTCGTTGGCCATCCACTTTGTATAAAGAGCTCGGTACTAGAATTAATAAAAAAAACAATAAAATTATACAAACATCTTTGATATGAAAATTGACTAGTAAACATACTTTTGCTTTAAAACTTTGATTGATGGATACATCAAGTGGTTGTAGTTTTGAAGTTAAATCAGATGGAATTACAGCAATATCTGTACATTTTTTTGTCAATCAACATCAACGGTATGTCCTCTAAAAGCATCATAGATCAACAAAGATTGGGGTTTGCCGTTTCCTCCAAATATTTTCTATCCACCAAAGTATCTCTTTTTCATTGCACCGCCCTTTTTCGTTATTACATACATAAATTCCACTTGGTAAATTTTCTTTTTTTGGCCAAGTTTTCAACTTAAAAATTACAACAGCTGAGAGTTTCATTCCATTAGCCATACATGATAAAATAGCTGTAAAATTTCCCTATTCATAACCTGTAGTACGAAGATTTACAGTTTTTGAACCCGATTTTTCCAAAGTGGTATTATAAGGAAGATCAAAGGAAAGTGGAGTTTTGTTCATATTTCCTATATATTTCAAAGGATATTTGTTTTTTTTACGATAAAATAAGACATAACTTAAAAAACTTTGAATTTGTTCAGCTGTATCTTCAGGCAGGCATTGTGAGGTATGAGTACGTCGATGATTTAATAACTTATGCCTAGTAAGAAACCCATCTAACCACTTATTTTAAAACTTAAATGATGTAATCGTTGGATATTGAATCTGATAAGCCTGTCTCAACACTAATTTTTTGGCTTTTTCGATAGTCATACTACGTGTAACAGCATTTCCTTTTGTATGAATATCTACAATCCATTGGCCTAATTTGGTTTCAAGATCAGGAAGGCTAGGTAATCTTCCATCATGTAACTTTTGGACCCACGGAGCTGCAGCTATTAGCTTATCCTTTTTTTTTCCAGTCGCGAAGCTGTTTAGGTTCAAGTTCAAATTTTCTGGCAGTTGCCCTTATACTCTTAACTTGATCTAAATAATGTACAGTAATATCATTAGCTTTTCTCTTGCGAACCATTGGCATCTTGCTTTTTTATTGCTATGTTTACGCGCCTTTCTTTTGCCTTTTCCACAAATAAGAGTTATGATCATTTGAAAGTTTAAAAAAATATTGCATCTTATATATATGTAACAAATTTTTCTTTTTGAGATTGCTTTTTAAAGCAATTTTGCAGGCGATAAAAAATTTTTTTATTACCATATAAGATAACTTTTCTCGAACTACTAATAGCTTAACCATTATCAAAAATCAGTAGAATTATATGATCCTATTGAACATTCTTTGTTACTTAAAAAGTATTGGAATAAAATTTTTACTAAGTATTTTGTTATAATTCTGTAATTACTAAAAGTTTTTTAAAAAATTTGCTACAATATCATAAGAGTAATGCTATAACATATTTTATTATTGACTTTTTATTGTTTTTTTATTTTTATTTTTATTTTTATTTATCATTCAAGTTTTTGTATTTTTTTTTTTTTGATTTAACTAAGAAAATACTTTGTCATTCTTAAAACATTTCTTTTATGAAGCGGGTAAATGGTTTTAGAAATAAGAGCTTATCGTCTTTGTTATATATATATATTTTTGGGTTTTTTTTACAATAGTTTACATATGCATGATCACATGTATCCGGGTATTGTTCAATGAACATACCCGGGTACATGCATTGAAAAATATCCAGATACTAAACACAGTATATATCCAGATATTATACAATATATGTACCCGGGTACTATACATAGAATTGTACTCCCTTCCATACAAAGTACCCTCTGTGTATAATACCATGGGTACTAGTTGCAATTTGGCCATGGAATGTATTATACCCGGGGTACCATGGTCCTAAATTTTTTTTAGCACATAAAGTTATCATGGATTCGCTAACCGTTAATCCAAATAACAAAAGATACATAATCAAATGTTAACCTAACCATATGGGGCCATTGCAGTAGAAAGGGCCCAAACTCTCCTAAAAATCAAAATTGAGTTCTTTCAAGATTCGGATTAATCTTGAGGTGGGCTATACTTTTCAGTTACAAATAGAAATTGGGTTGCATAATAAAAAATCAAGTCATTTTAAAAAAAAACTTTTTAGACGACTTGTACGTCATGAGATTACCTGATATAGACAACCAATCAAATCGTATAATTTTTGATTAACCCGGATCAGCCTGAAAAAATAAACACAATTTGCTCAAAATTATATATTTCTGAGTTTCGATCCTTTCTACTGCAATGGCCTCATATGTGATGTTGGTTAAATGACAGTCAGTAAAGTGAGCACCGAATTAATTATATACACTTCAATATATCAAGTTAAAGTTAATATTTACATAATTATAAGCTCTAATTTCACTATATTGAGAATTTATTATAATGAGGGTGAATTGATTTCAAATTGATGAAATTTAAGATTTTTAATCACGAATTTGAACTATTATAAAAAGATTTGACATTCTGAAATTTCGTAATACCAAAAATTTCTTATATTTTTCAATTAAATATGTTAATATTTATTCAAAATCATGATGACGAGTTTGCAGATATATCTGTAATCCAGATGTTTGAGTTTTGATAATGAGTTTAAGATAATTCTTGTTAAAATTCTCTAAAATTGTCATTACTAATCTTTCTTATAATTAATAAAAACTTCCAAAATGCATGTGTGTACTTGTTACTACCTTCATTATAGTAGATTATTTAAAATACAAAAATTATATTGTCTATCTTCAATTTTGGTTTCACCTCGACAATGAATTAGTGTTGGCCAGTAGCCAAGTAATAATAATATATATTTTTTTAAATTTTAACTTCTTATATATCAGAATTATTATTCTTAGGATTTATATACATATATTGTGTGGGTTCCTGGCACCCTAAAATTTTCTTTTTATTATTTTATTTATCTTATATTATTATTCTTATTGAAATTAGCTATATTTGTAACAATAAAACTCAACTAAGATAGAAACTTCTAGAAATAGCAATTACGAATATTAGTTTTCAATGTAATTGCACTATTTTAGGCTATGGTGCTATATATGGTAATAATGTTATTAAGTACATTTATTCTATTTTAGGCATTTAGGCCATAAATGCCTTTAAAGGCATTTATGCCATAAATGCCCTTAAAGACATTTATAACCTTTATAATCTATAGTCCTTTTAGTATAGAGGTGACATTCTAAAAACCTGTAAATAGTTTGCCTGTAAAAAAGTATATAAGTGAAGCTTATTTTTGCCTGAATAAAGACAGAACTCAGTTGAGTAATACTTCAAAAACATAATTAGTAGAAGTACTCCAGTAGTTGTTACTTATCTTTTCCCTTTGTTCCTAATAAAATCATTCCCAAAACTCTATTTCTCTGTCTTAGAATTATTAATAAACTTGTAATTCATATTAAGTTCAATTAAGACTTGACCTTCAAAGTGTTGACCCTGAGTTCCCTGTTTAATAAAAAACATTTGTTTCTTAGCTTTCTGATCTCTTAGAGAAAGTAAAGAAAGAATCGATAACCATTAGAACCCTTATACATATACTAACTGGCATAACAATTAAATTAATTTTCGTAAAATAAGAGCCCTATGACATAAATACTGAAATAGTGAATTAAATCTCCAATCTTCTTACCTGTAACATAGTGACAACAGAGAGTTGGTCTTTTGAGACAACCTAATCCAGCGTACCAGACAACCTATTGTGAGAGGCATGTTATATTTGGCAAGTAAATAAGTTGAGGCTTTAGTTGTCGATATTTCAGGGGATAAAAATACAGATTGATGATTGCACTACTATACCACTTAGTAGTTAATCATTAACGAATGTGGGGGTAATGAAGTAATTAATTATCAATCATGAATTGGGAATGTATTCCCTCAAGGTAACTCTACTTTTAGTCAAAGATCAACAAATTTTAAAGCTATACCTACCGAAGGCTACTACATGTTCCCAGGCTCACAATAGGAATCTCAGATTAGATTAATTTACTGATTGCCACAGCAGTAATCCAAGTGACATCTCACATGACCCACATGACAATCATTAGAGAATCTTAATGATTGTATTGAAGTCTGGAAATCACCAAGCCTTAGAGGGCCATAATTATCTTCCAGCCCAAGTATATTAATTACCAAATGATTGTTTATTTATTTATTATTAGCCAGGTAATAAACAAGCAGAATTCATATCATAGTTAAAACTTAGAAAGAAACTGATTGTCAGATAATATCATGATCAGTAACAAAAAATATAGTTATACTGTATTTAAATGCATCTGATTAGACAATCCATTCTTATAATTTCACCTTAAGATTTCTATATAAAATTGAAGCATTCATGAATTAAATGATGTAATGTAGTAATAAGAAAATGCAATCAAGATGTGCGATCAAGGAATCATAATTCAATAATATCATGATGACATATTAAATTTCCTTGTCTAGCCATTGTTTTAAATATAAAATCTAAATTTGTAATATGTGCAAGTTATACTTATTATCAATTTTTGTATTATATGTATCACTAGCATAGACTTATTTTTTTACTTGATTTGGGATGTGCATAAAGGCATAAAAATGAAACTTGTTATAATAGCTTATCCTATCAGTATCATAATAGCAAAATTATACATGTTATTTTGGCTATACTGATATTGAATATAAGACATCATAGTAAAATCTTTCTATATCAACTTATTTTTTCAAAAATTTTCAAAATTTTTAATATAAATTGTTGGTATAATTCACTGTATCACATTTTAAATTTTTTTGTTAATGAGAAAAAAATTGTTGGTAAATCCAGAGTAATGTGTATTAGAAACAGTGAGTTGACTATATGAAGAGTATACAAAGCAAGGTGAATTATAGGTAAATTGTGGTTTGATGTTAAAATTTTGTGATCTTATTGGCCAAGGTGCCGGACTTTAAACAATCTCTTTTTTGGGATGAGTCCCAAACACGATTTTACATGTAAAAAATTTGGGATTTATAGCTGTAATATAATTTATATATCAGAATGTTTGACATCATAGCAAATTAGAGGCCTTTTTGAAACCTAGTAAATACTATTTGGAATTCTACCAAATCACAAACTAGTAGGTTTGGGTCGCAACCCTAGTGATTAGTAAGTATTAGGAATGGATAAGTCCAGTCTGATCCATCCGGTCCATGTAGAACTGGTTCAATAGTTTTTTTGGTCTGGTCTGGTTCTAAAACTAGTCTTTCGATTTATGAAATTCAAGAGATTTCACATGATAATAAACCAATAGGATCAGTTGATCTATGTTCTGATCAAACCTTAATTGCATCTTTGATCATGCAGACTTAGATAAAGCATTAAAAGAAAGGATAACTGGCAGTTTATTGAACAAATAAAATATAATATAGAAGGGAGCCTTATATTAAAAAGGCCTATTTTGACAACAGTTATATTGTATTATGCAAAATTATATATATTCTTTTTGTTTTTTTTGAAAATGCTATGTTATATTGTTCTAAATATTTATTATATTCAACTGTAAAGCAAGCAATATTAATTTTCCTACCCAATTGCAAATATTATATTTAGCATACTCCTTTACAGATCCAGG